GGGGCTGGGACCTCTCCCTCAAGGGAGGAACTGTGCAGCTGAGATGTCCTTTCTGGTTCTCAACGATCACACATGGGTACAGGACCAGCTTGTTTCGAGTCTCTACACCTCTTACCTGGTCTCGACGTGGCTTCTTCTTCATATTCTTAGTTATAGTTCTATTCAGTTAACTATCCAGATAGTTCTCCAGGTTGATTGGTGCATAAATAAGTTGTAACATTGACGTGCTTCTGGGAGGAAGCAGCATAGTGTTTACCTATTCTGCCCTATACTATACTTGTGTAAGATTTTACCATTGGGGGTAATTGGGTAAAGGATATATGTGATATCTCAGTATTATTTCTTCCAACTACAGGTGGATATACCATTATCTCAATAAAAACAAAGAAACAAAAAAGAGACATCATATTTTACCCATCGAATTGGCAAAAATTTAAATAATCTCATGATATAAAATGTTGGCAAATATTTCAGAAACATGGTGGCTTTATTCACTGCTGCTGGGAGTATAATGTGGTATGGCCACTTTTGAGAGTAATATGTCTGGCAACCAGTGAAATATAAAATACACACAATGCTTCATAGCCCCAACCATTTTCCTTCTGGGTTTGTGTTCTCTAGAGAGACTCTCTTACATGTTCTGAGATCTGTATTCAAGAGTTTTATTACAACATTGTCTATAATAGCTAAACATAAATATCCTCCAATAGCAAATGGATAAATAAAACATAGTTTATTTATAATACATAGCAGAGAAAACAATGAATTAGATAAGATTATATCAGAAACACAACATCAAATTTAAAAAGCAAGGTAAAGATTGCTGTTTATTTATTCAGAAAAAATGTGAATGCCTATCCTGTATAAGGAGCTATTGTAGAACCTGAAAATACAGCAGAAAACAGACAAAACTAAATAAAGTCCTTGCTTTGTAGATATTATGCTCTTGTAAGGAATCACAAATTAGTAACTAGATATGACACTATGTAAAATTTTTCATTGTTCATGTATGGTTTGATATATATATATATAATTTTATAATATGCATATTATAAAAAATAGACCAGCAGGATATACACCATTTTTATGATATCAGGAGGAAAGGAAAGATGTGGGACTAGGGTGAGGAGGATTAAAGGGAACATTGGCTGTATTTGTAATATTTGAATTGCCTAATAGTCATTCTATTGCCACTTGTAAGTTCAAATGTTCACTTTTGTAGTTGCAATGGATAATTGAAAGATATTTTTCAGTGTAAAAATTTAGTCTAGAGTTAATATTTCTTATATTGAAGTCTGAGTACATTTCTCACGATTGAGAAACTGATTATTGGTTCATCCTTGCCAAATACATAAGTAACTAATTTATAAACTAGAATGGCCATTTGCGTTAATTTCTAAAGGGCATGAGACACACAGAACAAATGTATAGTGTTAAATTTGGGCTCTCCTTTTCGTACCACCACTGAAATTAATTGGATTAATCAGGTTACAAGCATAACTAACAGATCCTAATGATATGTGGGTGGTACCTGGTTTAGTTCATGTTAAAAACATCCGTTCTTTTTGGGATTTGTAGGAACTCTGCAACTCTATAGGTGTCTATTCTCATTTAAAATGAGGATATTATACCAAATATTCTGAGATTAAGCTAAATACTCTTCCTGATCATAGATTCTAATTTACTCAATTACTTAATATTTTTCAATTTAATCTTTAAAAATCAATTATTTAGTAGCTTATGAGAGCTTCATGATTAAATTTTACACTTTGTAATGCTCTCTCAAAGAATTTAAGACATCTTGTAAAATACTATTTGGAAACAATTTAAACACAATATTATTTTTCTATTCCTACCTTTTTCATAGTTAAAATAATGTAGATGCTTGATAAGAAATTACTTTAAAAAAAAATGAATGCATCGACCTTTAAGGAAAAAAGGAATGGGTGGTTTTACTTTGAAACTTTTAAAACTACTTGCAATAAAGTTTTTCTCTTACCAGTTAGTTTGCAGAAGTAGAGATCGTTTCCATTTGAGGTAACACAGGAGAAAGCCAACAGAAGGAACGCTCAGTAAGTCAGTGTTTCATATCTTCCTTATCATCAGT